ACGAATGAACAACAACAATCTACTAATCATGGCTGCCTGCCTGTCTCTCCTCCTAAGGGTCCCACCGTTGGAGATTCTGATGGCTCCCAATCCCACGTTAGTCCAGGCCTGGGCCTACTTCATCCCTCCCTCCAGGTGTGTTGGGCTTCAACCCCTCTTCGGCCCTTTGGAGAAGGAATGGGAAGAAGACTCACCAGGAGGAGGAGAGGAAGGAGGAGGAAACAGACCTCGAGGTGGAGGCCAAAGGGGGAAACTCTTCTCTTCTCTCCCACCCCTGCAGGGAAGGGCAAGAGGAAGGAGTTTGGTTCCTAGAGGGACAGGAAAGGCGGTTATGAGGAGGCCCACTTCCTTCCTGCCTCTCTAGGAACCATACTCCCTCCCCTTAACCCTTCCTTGCCCATTGTGACACTGGAAGGAGGGGGAAGAGCATCTCCCCAAAGCCCTGGAAACAAAGGATGAAAGATGAAGGCAGAGATACAGTCATGGAAGAAAAAAATTCTGTATTCATAGGATACGCCCAGACACGCATCAAGGAACATGAAAGGCACTGCAGACTACTTCAACCAGAGAAGTCAGCCATAGCAGAGCACCTGATGAACCAACCTGGACACAGCATATTATTTGAGAACACAGAAATGCTGGACCACTCTCACAACCACCAGGTCAGACTACACAGAGAAGCCATTGAAAGACACAAGCATGTGGACAATTTCAACAGAAAGGAAGAAACCATGAAAACGAACACCCTTTTGGGACCACCCTACCTGCGTGACCGTATCGCTGTCTACGAACCCACACGCTCACTCCGGTCATCTGGAGATGCCCTGCTCGTGATCCCGCCCGCGTCACAAGCTCGCTTGGTGGGGACGCGAGACAGGGCCTTTTCCGTGGTGACACCCCTGACTCTGGAACACCCTCCCGAAAGATCTCAGACAAGCACCTACATTGGCAGTCTTCAGGAAGGAATTGAAAACCTGGCTGTTCCGATGTGCCTTTTCAGATTAGGAACCCCAGCACCAAATCCTAGAAGCACCTTAGTATTTATTTATTTATTTATTTGCTGCGCTTATATACCGCAATTCTCAGCCCTTTAAGGGCGACTCATTGCGGTGTACAACATGAAAAAACAAGTGCAAATTACAAAACATAGTGCAAAATAATCCACATAATTATCAGGAAAACATCTTATCAAAACATCAACATTACTACAAAATTCCTACTACATTCTACTACATGCAGTAGAACCAAGTTCACTGCACACTGCACCTATATTATAATCCTACATTCCTCCCGCCACATCAGCACTTTTAATCCTGTACCCCTACTCTGGCCGGCCCAGTTTTAATAGTGTCTTGTTGTATTGTTACTGTTATTGTTTTCCTGCTTAACTGTTTTTAATTTGCTTTAGGTATTGTATTGTTGTATTGTGTTTTGGGCTTCGGCCTGTGTAAGCCGCATCGAATCCCTTGGGAGATGCTAGCGGGGTACAAATAAAGTTATAATAATAATAATAATAATAATAAAAATCTGGCTACCAGTATTAAAAAAAACTCAAAAATTACAACAGCACAACAACAGAGAGGAAACAAACAAGGACATCAAATCACCTCTCAAAAAAGATTCCCCCAGGCACTTCCAGGCCATTAAATGCTAATCAAGGTGGTCAGTTGAAACATTCACACCTAGCTCCAGCAGACAAGAGTCCTTTGTCCCACCCTGGTCATTCCACAGATATATAAACCCATTTTTCCTACTTCCAACAGACCTCACTACCTCTGAGGATGCTTGCCATAGATGCAGGCGAAACGTCAGGAGAAAATGCCTCCAGAACATGGCCATATAGCCCGGAAAAACCTACAACAACCCAGTGATTCCGGCCATGAAAGCCTTCGACAATACATTCATAGGATAGTTAATTAGATATATTATCTCCCTGTCAAACGCTTGCTCCCCAACCCCACTGAACATTAAAGGTAACCCATCAGTCCAGAGAGCAGAGCTTAGCCTCCACCTATTTATTTATTTATTTACTACTAGCCGTGCCCTGCCAGGCGTTGCTGTGGCCCAGTCTGGTGATCTGTAAAATAAAGTAATGAGAAAGCGTTGGTTTCAAATATATGTAATTTCTTTATGATATATGTAATTTCTTTATGTATTGCCGAAGGTTTTCATGGCCGGAATCACTGGGTTGTTGTAGGTTTTTTCGGGCTATATGGCCATGTTCTAGAGGCATTCTCTCCTGACGTTTCGCCTGCATCTATGGCAAGCATCCTCAGAGGTAGTGAGGTCTGTTGGAATTAGGAAAAATGGGTTTATATATCTGTGGAATGACCAGGGTGGGACAAAGGACTCTTGTCTGCTGGAGCTAGGTGTGAATGTTTCAACTGACCACTTTCATTAGCATTTGATGACCTGGCAGTGCCTGGTGGAATCTTTTGTTGAGAGATGTTAAGATGTGCCTGGTTGTTTCCTCTCTGCTGTTTTGCTGTTGTAATTTTAGAGTTTTTTAATACTGGTAGCCAGATTTTGTTCATTTTCATGGTTTCCTCCTTTCTGTTGAAATTGTCCACATGCTTGTGGATTTCAATGGCTTCTCTGTGTAGTCTGACCTGGTGGTTGTGAGAGTGGTCCAGCATTTCTGTGTTCTCAAATAATATGCTGTGTCCAGGTTGGTTCATCAGGTGCTCTGCTATGACTGACTTCTCTGGTTGAAGTAGTCTGCAGTGCCTTTCATGTTCCTTGATTCGTGTTTGGGCAATGCTGCTGCATTTGGTGGTCCCTCTGTAGACTTGTCCACAGCTGCATGGTACACGGTAGACTCCTGCAGAGGTGAGAGGATCCCTCTTGTCCTTTGCTGAACGAGCATTTGTTGGATTTTCTTGGTGGGTCTGTAGATAGTTTGTATGTTGTGTTTCCTCATCAGCTTCCCTCTGCGGTCAGTGGTTCCCTTGATGTATGGCAGGAACACTTTTCCTCTGGGTGGATCTTGGTCTTGACTCTCGTGGCTTGTTCTTGGTCTTGCAGCTCTTCTGATGTCTGAGGTGGAGTCTCCATTGGTCTGTAAAGCCCAGTTTAGGTGGTTCAGTTCATCTTGGAGGAGGTGGGGTTCGCAGATTCTTTTATTCTATTATTATTATTATTATTATTATTATTATCTTTATTTGTACCCCGCTAACATCTCCCGAAGGACTCGGTGCGGCTTACAAAGGCCAAGGCCCTCAATAAAACAACAGCATAACAAATACAACAATAAAACTCATAAAGCAAACCAATAAACATTAAAGCAACAACAATAAAACATTAAAAACAATACATCATGACACATTTAAAACTAGAGCTGGGCCAAATGTAATGACTAAAATTAAAAGTGCTGGACATGACAGGTGAAATGTAAGGATTTTAGGGTAGGTGCGATGTGCAGGCCATCTTAAATCTCTAGTAAAGTCCGTTTGGGATATGATACTGGGAGTTTCCTATTCTGGAAAGGCACACTGGAACAGCCAGGTCTTCAAGCTCTTCCTAAAGACTGCCAACGTTGGGGCTTGTCTGATGTCCTTGGGGAGAGAGTTCCAGAGTCGGGGGGCTACCACAGAGAAGGCCCTGTCCCTCGTCCCCACCAAATGCGCTTGCGACGCAGGTGGAATCATGAGCAGGGCCTCTCCAGATGAACGGAGGGAGCGTGTGGGCAGTATTTCTTGCTGCTTCTTTGTCTGGTTTGCCTACTATGGAACATGCAACATATCATTGTCCTTCTTTAGGGGTCCCTTTCAAATCTATGATACTATATCTGTGTATGTGAATCATATTTATCTGTATCTATGGCTGGATGGCTCTTTATCAGGAGGGCTTTGGTTATGTTTTCTTGCCCTGGTGAAGGGAGTTGGACTGGATGGCCTTAAGTATTTTCTGTTGGTCATGGGGGTTCTGTGTGGGAAATTTGCCCCAATTCTGTTGTTGGTAGGGTTCAGAACACTCATTGATTGTAGGTGAACTATAAATCCCAGGAACTGCAACTCCCAAACATCAAGGTCTATTTCCCTCGAACACCATCTGTGTTCATATTTGGGCGTATGGAATATTCGTGCCAAGTTTGGTCCAGATCCATCATTGTTTGAGTCCACAGTAGTCTCTGTGTGTAGGTGAACTACTACTCCCAAACTCAAGGTCAATGCCCACCATTGTTTTCTGTTGATCATGGGAGTCCTGTGTGCCACATTTGGTTTAATTCCATCATTGATGGAGTGCAGAATGCTCTTTGATTGTAGGTGAACTATGGATCCCAGCAACTACAACTCCCAAATGACAAAATCATTTTTTTAAGTGATGATCACTCCTTGGTTTAGTAGATGTCTTGTGGCCAAATTTGTAGGCAATTCGTCCAGAGGTTTTTGAGTTATGCTAATCCCACAAACAAACATTACATTTTTATTTATATAGATATGTATACCTCACCCTTCTCCCTCCGGAGGGGGACTCAGGGCAGCCTAACAAAAGCATCATCATAAAAACAACCACAGTACAATCAAAATATTAAAAACTTTGAAACAACAATTAAAACAATTAATTAAGACACATCCGTTAAAATCAAAATCCAAAAACCAGTCCAGGCCAATTCATTGCCATAAGTTGTGTGATCTTCTTCCATTTGCTGCTCACTGATCAAACGCTTGGTTCCATAACCAGGTCTTGGTTTTCCTTCTAAAAGACAAGAGGGAGGTGGCCAATCTCCCTGAGAAGCAAACGAGTTCTCCAAAACAGTTCCCAGATTAAACAAGGCAAAGCAAAAAACTGGACAAGAGTTCAAAACCAAAACAAGTTGTCTAAGAGATCAGTCCAAAGTCAAGCCAAGTGTTACCAGAAGCCAAGAGAGTCACACGTGTTAATCAGGAAATGTTAAATGTATAGTTTATAGCACCAAAATGTCCACAATCTGCAATTCCCCTGTTGCCAGGCCCGTAGCCAGGATTTTGATTTTGATTTTTTTTTTGGGGGGGGGGGGGCTGAGTCTGGGTGAAAGAGGGTCTACCCTAGCAAACCTTTTGAATCGTGACCCCAATACCCCCATGCATATGGGATATATTGAGAATGGTGATCAGATCATGATATTAATAAACATAACAGATTAAATAATGTACCAGTAAGGCCTTCTCGCAGACCAGCATGAGAATTTCGGGGGGGGGGGGCTGAAGCCCCTATAGCCCCCCCCTCCCCCTGGCTACATGCCTGCCTGTTGCAATTCATTTTTTTTTTAGTTTTGTTCAAGCTCTTTGGATGATTTCTCTCCTGTACATAGTCTGCAATAGTTCAAAAGGTATGAACTTCAAACAAAACATTTCCCACACTCCTGGCTTTGGTATGTTTTTTAGTCCACGTGTATTCTCTGGTGTTTGATAAGAGATGAAGTCTGAGTAAAACATTTTCCACAATCTGTGCATCTGTATGGTTTTTCTCCTGTGTGAACTCTCTGGTGGCTCACAAGGAATGAATTTTGAACAAAATGTATTCCACACTCTTGCCGTTTGTGTGGCTTCTCTCCTGTGTTAAGTCTTTTGTGCTTCACAAAGTGTGAACTGTAGGAAAAACATTTCTCACAATCTGGGCATCTGTATGGTTTTTCTCCGGTGTGGATGCTCCGGTGTCTCAGTAGTGATGACTTGCAAAGAAAACATTTCTAAAACTCTTGGCATTTCTATGGTTTCTCTCCTGTGTGGGGTCTCCAAAGGTCTATAAAGTGTGCATTCTGTGCAAAACATTTCTCATACTCCTGGCATTGGTATGGCTTCTCTTCTGTGTGAAGTATTTTGTGGCTAACCAGGTGTGAACTCTGAGCAAAGCAATCACCACACTCCTGGCATTGGTGAGGCTTCCCTCCTGTGTGGAGTCTTTTGTGCCTCACCAGGTGTGAACTCTCAGCAAAGCAATCACCACACTCCTGGCATTGGTACGGCTTCTCTCCTGTGTGGACTCTTTTGTGCCTCACCAAGTCTGAACTGTAAGCAAAACATTTCCCACACTCCTGGCATTGGTATGGCTTCTCTCCTGTGTGAAGAATTTTGTGCCTCACCAAGTGTGAACTGCGAGCAAAACATTTCCCACACTCCTGGCATTGGTAGGGCTTCTCTCCTGTGTGAAGTCTTTTGTGCCTCACCAAGTGTGAATTGTGAGCAAAACATTTCCCACATTCCTGGCATTGGTGTGGCTTTTCTCCTGTGTGAAGTCTTTTGTGCCTCACCAAGTGTGAACTGTCTGTAAAACATTTCCCACACTCCTGGCATTTGTGTGGCTTCTCCCCTGTGTGAAGTCTTTTGTGCCTCACCATGTCTGAACTGTCAGCAAAACATTTCCCACACTCCTGGCATTGGTATGGCTTCTCTCCTGTGTGAAGCCTTTTGTGCCTCACCAAGTGTGAACTGTCAGTAAAACATTTCCCACATTCCTGGCATTGGTATGGCTTCTCTCCTGTGTGGAGTCTTTTGTGGCTCACTAGTTGTGAACTGCGAGCAAAACACTTCCCACACTCCTGGCATTTGTGTAGCTTCTTTCCTGTATGAAGTATTTTGTGCCTCACCAAGTCTGAACTGGAAGCAAAACATTTGCCATACTCCTGGCATCTGTATGGTTCTTGTCCTGTGTGAAATCCCTCATGTATCACCAAGTGTGAACTCTGGATAAAAGATTTGCCACACTCCTGGCTTATGAAATCATCAGTTCCTTCAAATATTTCTTCTTGGCTCAGATGTGGCAATTTGTAATCAGCAACACATTTTTCTGATATGTTTGTTTTAAGATGGCTGTTCTCAGCATGGAGTGTCTTGTGAAGCACAAGTGCCAACATTTTGGTAAAGCATTGCCCACATACATTGCATTTGTAGGGTCTTTCTTTGGCAGATCCTCCATCTTCTCTGTGGTCTTGCTTGTGTCTTGGAAGGCCCCCACTGTGCACAAAATATTTCTTGTGTTTGGTGCATACATTGCTCTTCTTCCAGTGATCTGGTGGGAAGAAGGGCAGAAACAATCATTCATCAGCATGAGTGATAAGGAATCTAAGGAAGTTGGATAAGAATTGGAATTATCCTTAAAACTACATAGGCATGGAGGAAAAGAAGATATAAATATTGTCCTCTCCCCACCCATTGTTCAGCAGAGCAGTGGTTCTCAACCTGTGGGTCCCCAGATGTTTTGGCCTTCAACTCCCAGAAATTCTAACAGCTAGTAAACTGGCTGGGATTTCTGGGACTTGAAGGCCAAAACACCTGGGGACCCACAGGTTGAGAACCACTGCTTCAGAGGCTACCTTTGCTCAACCCAGTAACGTATGTCCCAGAGGTTACCTGTTGCTCAGACATGCAGAGACTAGCCTGCCTGGCTGGGAGGGAAAACAAGGTTGAATACCATGCCAGTAAAAAGATACATAGCTGTGTCCGGGTATCTGAAGTCAGAGAAAGTTTGTTCTTGATTATCCATTCTCTGGCCTATCTCCAACCAATCAATCTTTTCCATCATTTCCCATACTCCTTTTGGCGTCAGGTACGCAGTGGCTTTCTAAGCCTGCCAAGGGCACACAAAATGCAAATAGGCTTGGTTGATCCATAAAAAAAATGATTCAAAACTAGTTTCGGATGTAAGGGGCACTGGTGGTTCGATTCTAAAGTCAATTCTGATTTTCACATAATTTTTTTCCCAAAACTTTTCAAAACTTCTGAGACTTCCAAATCCTTTCATTAACGATTTGAAAGTGTTATTTCCTGTTTCATTGGGTGGGCTTTACTTTGAAAGTAGTTGTTTTACTCCAGAAGTGGGGAAAAGCAAGCGGAGGAAATTGCTTCCTGCTCTGGTTTAAAACTGGCTTCTCTGGCTTGAGAAGAGGCCAGGAAATTTCTTCATTCTCTGGCTTAAAACTGGCTTCTCTGGCTTGATCGGAGGCCAGGGACAAGAAGCAGGGAAAAGCTGAATTATTTCCAACTCACTTCCTGAGTCGTAACAAAAATGGCGGAAAAAGCTTCGGAAGGGCAAAGGGACTTCTGGTTTTGAAAAAAGCCCTCAATATCACTTTGAAAAGGTAATTTTAACAAAATTATTGCAAGCTACAAGTTATTCAAGCGACTCTAACCATGCCTAGATGCAAAACCAGGTTGCTGAAAATGTGTGACTGTAGTCAGGAGAGATTAGTTAGTTTACTTTTTTGCCAATCTGCTTCCTCCCTCTCCCCTGCCTCTCACTCACACATACATTCACAGAGAGAGAGAAGGTAGTGTGACTGATCTGGGATGATCACTCATAAGAGATTTTCCAGGGAGCCCAGGTTGTAGGGTACGCTTGGACTTGACTCCAGTTATGGAAGTCTTCTCAGTGGAGTCCCAGTTGGTGCCAATATCGCTGTTGCTCATGCAATAAGTCAATATTACTCTTACATCACATATTTCTAACCAAAGTCCTGCCTTGATGACCCTCAGTGACTGGGATGACTTAGGATACTGCTCTCACCAGAGAGCTGCTGACTGGGGTCCTGCATTTTGAAATAGAAATCCCCAGGAATGAGGGGGCCTTACCAAGAGAGTCCACCATCCCATGAATCTCCTCCATGATCTGCATGTGCAAGGCTTTCTGATCAGGACTCAGGAGAACCCACTCCTCCGGGGAGAAATGGACAGCCACGTCCTCAAAGGCGATTGGGCCCTGGTGGGAAAAGAAAGCACTTCTCACATAAGGGCTATCAAGAAAAATAACCACAAGAAAACCTTTAAAGTTTATTTACATTCCTGTGGGTTGTTTGAAAGGGAAAGGGGTAGGGCTTCCATGCGCAGTTGTTAGCTTTGTAGAGACAAACCATTTCTTACTTGGGTTGCTGTGAGTTTTTTGGGCTGTATGACCATGTTCCTGTTGCATTATCTCCTGATGTTTCGCCTGCATCTATACCAGGCATCCTCAGTGGTTTGTGAGGTTTGTGACCTGATTTTTCGGTTCCACCCAACAGTATGTAAATGTAGAAGTATAACAATAAAGAAAACTGCAAATCATCTTTTTCAATTTCTTGTACATGTCCTTTTAAAATCTTAGCTCAGTTGAAGGTTCTCTGAACATTTATTCTGGTTTCTTTAGATTTCTCTTAATTTTCCTCCTTGTTTGCAATGGTGGCTTCAGTGTTTCACTTTTAAGAAACTCCCATGCAGATGTTTAATGATTATGCCTGCAAAAAATGACGCCAGGCAGCTCCCGTCCTCCTCTCCCAAGAACCCTTCTGCTTACCTGATTCAGTTGCACTCCATCACAAAGGAGAAGAAACAACTGAGGATTTGGCCACAACATCATTCCAGCCCCTGGGAGAAGAGAGAGAGCAAGGGGTGGAAAGCTGATCACATAAACATGTCTCGGGAGTTACAATTACTGTCCTGAAAAGAAACCTATGAGGAAATGACTCTATGAACACTGGAGCATTCTCCAACCTAGGAATTGTAACGTTTTGGAGTTTAGGACTGATGACTAGGTTGGACTGAAACTAATACTGGGCTTGTTATTTCAATTGTCTAAAGCAGGGGTTCTCAACCTTCCTCATGCTGCGACCCCTTAATACAATTCCTCATGTTGTGATGACCCCCAACCCTAAAATTATTTTCCTTCCTACTTCATAACTGTCATTTTGCTACTGTTATCAATCGTAATGTAAATATCTGATACGCAGGATATATTTTCATTCAGTAGACCAAATTTGGCACAAATACCCAATACGCCCAAATTTGAATACTGGTGGGGTTGGGGGGTTGATTTTGTCATTTGGGAGTTGTGGTTGCTGGGATTTGTAGTTCACCTGCAATCAAAGAGCATTCTGAACTCTACCAACAATGGAATTGAACCAAACTTGGCACACAGAACTCCCATGGCAAACAGAAAATATTGGAAGGGTTTGGTGGGCATTGACCTTGAGTTTTGGAGTTGTAGTTCACCTACATCCAGAGAGCACTGTGAACTCAAACAATGATGGATCTGGACCAAACTTGGCATGACTACTCAACATGCCCAAATGTGAACACTGGTGGAGTTTGGGGAAAATAGTCCTTGACATTTTGGGAGTTGCTGGGATTTGTAGTTCACCTACAATCAAAGAGCATTCTGAACCCCACCAACGACAGAATTGGGCCAAACTTCCCACATAGAGCCCCCATGACCAACAGAAAATACTGTGTTTTCTGGTGGTCATTAGTGACCCCTCTGACATTCCCTCGTGACCCCTCCAGGGGTCCCGACCCCCAGGTTGAGAACCACTGGTCTAAAGCTATTCTTTGTTGTCGGTATGTCTTTCAACTCAGTTTCAAGTCTCATCTTAGTTTCAGGATCCACCTGGGAAGATACTGAAGGGCTGAATTTTCAGTCCTATTATTCTTTAGGCAAATGCGGAAGTTTTGCAAGAAGGAAAACTGCAAATCACACTGAAATCACACCTTTTGCAACCAAATGCCTATATTATTATTATCATCATCATCATCATCATCATCATCATTATTTCTTATCTGTCTCTCCTTGCGGCTGCAGGCGAGTTGCAACACAATTTGAAAAACACCAACATTGCCAAAATTCAACAAATATACATACTTCTATAAAAGATCCACATTAAATGGCATTTCCATAAAATACATATTAAAGCACAACAAGCAGACTATCACACAAAGGACATGAGTTTAAGATATATACGCCTCTCAAGGCCAAATCATCTGGCATAGGCACCTTCCCAAAATAAAACAAATTGGGGATGTGCCCCCATCCTTCCAAAGGGGAATTTACAATGGCATAAAACACCAAAAGACCCCAAATGGTTCCTTCTTACCCTGCAAAGCTGCAGCCTCATCTCCTTCCTGATTTAGCTCCTTCTGCCTAAGACTCTGACTGGTGTTTGATGGAGATTTCTCGCATGCAGAGGCATTAGACTGGACTTCCATGCAGTTATTTGGGATCTGGAAGAAGTAGCATGGAGAAAGTTAAAAATATCATAGACCTATAGGCAGAAATTGCATGGACTTTTTTAAAAAGAATAACTCTGAGATTGCTCTAGATAACTCTAGTTTGAAACAAATCCCATCATTTTTAATGCTATACCTGGGGGTCAACAAATTGGAGTCGAGCAGCAACCGAGCTTACAGTGGATATGGAGGTGAGAGCAGGGGCAAAGCAGGTGGGAAAAGAGGCAGAGGGAGCAGAGTACAGCTTATCTCTCTCATAAGTCCCATCTTGGAAGGAAGGCATGATGTACGTTTAATCTCTCCATCAGTCCCAAGGTGAGTGAACCCAAGAGGGAATGCTCTCACCTGTCCTTCCTGCTTCTCGTCCTCTGCCCGACTCAGGAGGAAGCCTTCCGCCAGGGCCACCGCCTGGGAAGAGGTCTCTGCCCCACACTCTCGGACCCAGCTCCCCATCTCTGGGGGCAGGATGCTCAGGAACTGCTCCAGGATCACCAGGTCCAGCATCTCTGCCTTGGTGTGTTGCTCTGGCTTCAGCCACTGGCGGCAGAGAGAGTGGAGGCGGCTGCAAACCTCTCTGGGTCCCTCGCCCTCTCGGAAGGAGGAATGCCTGAAGCGCTGGAGCTGTGTGTCTGAGTTATAAAGGTCCACACTCAGGAATGTCTGCATAGTTCTTTTCCAGGATTCCCCACTGCATCCAGCGGCCATGCCTACTTCAGGCCCAGGTGAGTTGGGTCTCTCCATGTTAGAACCACTCTGATGAAGAACCAAACTGGATCCAAGAAGCTCTTCCTCCCTCTTCTTTCAAGGGAAAGAAATCCCTCAACAGGCTCTACTCCCAAATTCTCAGCCAACCATCACATCACCTCTGTGAAAGAAAGTAAGAATGAAACAATGGGCTTTGGGAGGATTTTTTTTACAGTAAAAATAAGTTATTTATTTATTGCAGAGCCAGGTTATGCTGGACCTGTTGGAAATGAAAAACTTCTTCAAGCCTTCTCTAGTAATCTATTTATCTATGATCCTGTTGCTTACTGTTTTGTATGCATGTTCTAGTATGCAGCTCCATTACTCTATGGTTCCTGAAAAGTTGTAGGAGGCTCTGCAGACCACACACACCCACACATTCGCTTGGTTTGTAGTAGTTGTTGTTGTTAGAGAGGTGTCTTGGACAGAGGGCACAGAGAATTATTTCAAACATATCTGAAACTGGACTGATACGTTTTATGCTTGTGTATGCTGAACATATGAAGGTTGTGAGTAAACCAAATATGTCATTTTTATCAATGTCTACTTCATTTTTGTATCTTGAGTGCATGATATACAACAAGTTGTTTTGTGGGAAAGTATATATGTTTTTGGGCACTTAAAAACACTTCTGAAGCACTGCTGTTTTTTATGCACTGGCAAAATCTCTGTTTTCCTGACAAATCACAGATAACTTATTTAGTCTAACAGCTGAAACTATTGCCACTTTGTGCAGCACCAGTCGAAATCTGGAGGGTGAGGAGGTGGGGCTTCCATGGTCTATAATGTTTCCATTTCCCTGACCAAGTGCCCCATCCCACAGTCTACCATATTTGAGTGTGTCCACCTAAGGGTAGGTGACCAGGACACAACAGGGATTCTGCTAGTGTACCGACCACCCCGCTGCACTACAGTCTTGGAGTGCCAATGGCTTTTAGTGCTGGTGGACTTCAATGTCCACATAGAGACCACACTGTTAGGAGTGGCTCAGGACTTCATGGCCACCATGGCAATCATGGGGCTGTCCCAATTGGTTTCTGGCTCTACCCACAGAGCCATGCACACACTAGACTTGGTTTTCTTCCAGGGATGGAAGGTGGTGGTGTGGGGGAGCTGACCATCACTCCGTTGCCATGGACTGACCATCACCTGATCAGGTTTAGGCTTTCTGCGCCCCCTGACATCTGCATATTGGAAGGTCCATAACCTATTGGAAATAAGTGTACTACAACCTGATTGAAAAGGTAAAAATGATGTCACATCCATTTGGCAAACATGGAACCTCCATGAATGTGTGGAGACTACCACTAGTCATGAAAACGTGGTGACCTTGTTAGAAGTCAACTCTTTGAAGAAGTGATATTCATAAGCATCCATGTAATGGCACACAGGTAACTCAGCTGTTAAACTGAAGAATCATAGAATCAAAGAGTTGGAAGAGACCTCATGGGCCATCCAGTCCAACCCCCTACCAAGAAGCAGGAATATTGCATTCAAAGCACCCTGACAGATGACCATTCAGACTCTGTTTAAAAGCTTCCAAAGAAGGAGCCTCCACTACACTCTGGGGCAGAGAGTTCCACTGCTGAACAGCTCTCACAGTCAGGAAGTCCTTCCTAATGTTCAGATGGAACACTGTAGTTTGAAGCCATTGTTCTGCGTCCTAGTCTTCAGGGCAGCAGAAAACAAGCTTGCTCCCTCCTCCCTGTGGCTTCCTCTCACATATTTCACATGGTTATCATATCTCCTCTCAGCCTTCTCTTCTTCAGGCTAAACATGCCCAGCTCTTTAAAGCCGCTCCTCATAGGGCTTGTTCTCCAGACCCTTGATCATCTTAGTCGCCTCCTCTGGACACATTCCAGCTTGTCAAGATCTCCCTTCAACTGTGGTGCCCAGAATTGGATACAGTGTGATTCCAGATGTGGTCTAACCAAGGTCACATTGTGATGACCCGTAACCATAAAATTATTTTTGTTGCTACTTCATAACTGTAATTTTGCTACTGTTACAAATTGTAATGTAAATCTGATATGCAGGATGTATTTTCATTCACTGGACCAAATTTGGCACAAATACCGATACACCCAAATTTGAATACTGGTGGGGTTTGGGGGAGGATTGATTTTGTCATTTATAGTTCTCCTACAACCAAGGAGCATTCTGAACTCTACCAACGATGGAATTGAACCAAACTTGGCACACAGAACTCCCATGACCAACAGAAAATACTGGAAGGGTTTGGTGGCACTGACCTTGAGTTTGGGAGTTGTAGTTCACCTACATCCAGAGAGCACTGTGGACTCAAACAATGGTGGATCTGGACCAAACTTGGCATGAATACTCAATATGCCCAAATGTGAACACTGCTGGAGTTTGGGGAAAATAGACTTTGACATTTGGGAGTTGTAGTTCACTTACAATCAAAGAGCTTTCTGAACCCCACAAATGACAGAATTGGGGCAAACTTCCCACACAGAACCCCCATGACCAACAGAAAATACTTAAAGCCATCCAGTCCAACTCCCTTCTCCAGGGCAAGAAAACGTAATCAAAGCCCTCCTGACAAAGAGCCATCCAGCCATAGATAGATAGATAGATAGATACATATGATTCACACACACACAGCTATAGTATCATAGATTTGAAAGGGACCCTTAATAAAGGACAATTATATGTTGCATATTCCAGAGTAGGCAAACCAGACACTCTCCACATCAACACTGACAAAGAAACAGCAAGAAATACTGTTTACCCACAAGCAAAATGAAATTAACATATATTAGAAACCAACACTTTCTCATTACTTTATTTTCCAGGTCACCAGACTGGGACACAGCAATGCCTGGCAAGGGATGGCTAGTGCCTAATAAAAACTCAAAGGGGGAAAGGAAGACACAGACAGGCAGGTGAGTGGCTTGGCAGGGGAAAGCCATTGGCCCCTCTCTGTCTACCTCTCTCTCCTCCTAAGGGTCTCACCATTGGAGATTCTGATGACCTTCAAACCCAGGTGAGTCCAGGCCTGGGCCCACTTTGTCCCTCCCTCCAGGTGTGTTGGGCTTCAGCCCCTCTTTGGCCCTTTGGAGAAGGAATGGGGAGAAGACTCACCTGAAGGAGAGGAAGGAGAAGGAAGAGGAGGGTGCCAAAGGTGCAAACTCCCTTCTCCCAGCCGGGCAAGGAAGGGTTAAGGGGAGGGAGTTTGGTTCCTAGAGGGGCAGGAAGGCCCACTTTCTTCCTGCCTCTCTGGGAACCACACTCCCTCCCCTTAACCCTTCCTTGCCCAGTGTTACATTGGAAGGAGGAAGAAAGAGCATCTCTCCAAAGCCCTGGAACCAAAGGATGAAAGATGAAGGCATAAATCATCTTGTGGACAACAAGTTAAACATGAGCCAACAATGTCATGCGGCAGCAAAAAAAGCCAATGGGATTTTGGCCTGCATCAATAGGAGCATAGTGTCTAGATCTAGGGAAGTCATGCTACCGATGCTCTATTCTGCCTTGGTTAGACCACACCTGGAATATTGTGTCCAATTCTGGGCACCACAATTCAAGAGAGATATTGACAAGTGGGAATGTGTCCAGAGGAGGGCTACTAAAATGATCAAGGGTCTGGAGAACAAGCCCTATGAGGAGCGGCTTAAAGAGCTGGGCATGTTTCGCCTCCAGAAGAGAAGACTGAGAGGACACACGATAGCCATGTATAAATATGTGAGAGGAAGTCACAGGGAGGAGGGAGCAAGCTTGTTTTCTGCTGCCCTGGAGACTAGGACGCGAACAATGGCTTCAACCTACAAGAAAGGAGATTCCATCTGAACATGAGGAAGAACTTCCTGACTGTGAGAGCCGTTCAGCAGTGGAACTCTCTGCCCCGGAGTGTGGTGGAGGCTCCTTCTTTGGAAGCTTTTAAACAGAGGCTGGATGGCCATCTGTCAGGGGTGCTTTGAATGCAATATTCCTGCTTCTTGGCAGAATGGGGTTGGACTAGATGGCCCATGAGGTCTCTTCCAACTCTATGATTCTATGAAAGGAAGGAAAGAAAAGGAGGGAAAGGTGGAAAGGGCGGAAAAAAAGTTTTAAAAGGGCAGCATAGGTGTGGAGGGGATAGAACAACTTGGTGATGCAGAGAAGGAAGAGGGAGGGATATTTACTCACAAAGGCTGACCAGGGGAAAGACAGTTCAGTCCCATGGTGATACTGTAATGAATGAATGTCTGAATGCATGCAGAAGAGCAGAACAAACAGGCCAAGAGGAATCAACATGGAGTTCACGCAAAGCATGACATGGGTCGAACTTGGCAGTCGAAGGGAGGAGGTAGTAAGGCATAGCTGAACAACAATAAACAATAAGGTGTGCGGCCAAGCGTGTAAGGAGTGCAAGGAGCATGCAGGAGGTACCCCATAAGTCATATGGCCTGGAATGTAGTGAACTTGAAAGGAACAGAACAGCATGTTTATTAAAAAGAAGAAAAATTGATTTTGGCCTATAAATGCAGGGGACCCCAAGAACATGCATGCTTCCTGATCCGCGGCAACCAGGAATATCCACACCTTCTCAGAGGAAAGCTGATCATCTTTGTCCAGAGAAGGCCTGCGTGTGTGAGTATGTGTGAATGTTTGGAGTGTGTGCACGAGAGCTCTCTCTTGATGTGATTCTGGTGTGATTCTATGGTGATTGTATTTCAATAAATGTTACATGAATAGTGTTAAAACCAAATTTGGTCTCTAAAGTGTCTCATTGGTCTAAACTACCTTATTATGCCTTGAACACTCTGCATAAAAGAACAGGAACCTCTTGGGGTTCATAACAATACTGGTTATTTAATACTTAATGTTTATTGTACTTAAGTGATATTTGTCTTTACTAATGTAGCACAAATCCTATGTAAAATCATACTACATTTTTGACATTAATATTAAAATCTGAAATATATACAGAAAGTCTTTACTTCAAAACAGTTCAACGTCAAACAGCAAAAACAAAAACCTGAACAGCGTTCGAAACCAAGGAGAGAGTTGTCTAAGATCAGTCCAAGTGCTACTTGAAGTCAAGGGAATCACATCGATTCATCTGAAAATGTTCAATGTATAGTCTACAGCACCAGAATGGAGCCCCCGGGGACGCAATAGGTTAAACCCTTGTGCCAGCAGGATTGAAGACTGACAAGTCAGATGTTCAAATCCAGGGAGAGCGTAGATAAACTCCCTCTGTCAGCTCCGGCTCCCCATACGGGGACATGAGGGAAGCCTCCCACAAGATGGTAAAACATCAAAACATCCGGCCGTCCCCTGGGCAACATCTTTTCAGTCAGTCAATTCTCTCACACCAGAAGTGACTTGCAGTCTCCCAAGTCGCTCCTGACATGAACAAAAAGCACCAGAATGTCCCCAATCTGCAATTTCCCTGTTGCAATTCATTTTATTACTTTTGTTCCAGCTCTTTGGATGGTTTTCCTCCGCTATGAATTCTCTGGTGTCTCACAAGGACTGAAGACTGAGTAAAACATTTTCCACACTCCTGGCATTTGTATGGCTTCTCTCCTGTGTGGAGTCTTTTGTGTCTCACCAAGTCTGAACTATAACCAAAACATTGTCCACACTCCTGGCATTGGTATTGTTTCTCTCCTGTGTGGAGTCTTTTGTGCCTTGCCAAGCCTGAACTGTAAGCAAAACATTTCCCACACTCCAGGCATTGGTATTGCTTCTCTCCTGTGTGAAGTCTTTTGTGCATCACCAAGGCTGAACTATTAGCAAAACATTTCCCACACTCCTGGCATTCGTATGGCTTCTCTCCTGTGTGGACTCTCTGGTGCCGTACAAGGGATGAACTTTGAACAAAACATTTCCCACACTCCTGGCACTGGTATGGCTTCTCTCCTGTGTGGAGTCTTTTGTGCTTCACCAAGTGTGAACTGGTAGCAAAACATTTCCCACACTCCTGACATTGGTATGGCTTCTCTCCTGTGTGAAGTCTTTTGTGGCTCACCAAGTTTGAATTGGAAGAAAAACATTTCCCACAATCTGGGCATATATATGGGTTTTCTCCAGTGTGGACTCTCTGGTGGCTCACAAGGGATGAACTTTGAACAAAACATTTCCCACACTCCTGGCATTGGTATGGCTTCTCTCCTGTATGGAGTCTTTTGTGCCTCAAGAAGTGTGAACTGTAAGCAAAACATTTCCCACACTCCTGGCATTTGTATGGTTTCTCTTCTTTGTGGGATCCCCAGTGCTCTATAAGGTGTGCATTCTGAGTAAAACACTTCCCAAATTCTGACATGTTTTGGGTAAAACACTGGCCACATACATTGCATTTGCAAGGCCTTTCTCTGGCAGAATCTTCATCTTCCCTGTGGGCTTGCTGGTGTCTATGAAGGCCCCAATTGTGCCCAAAATGGTTCCTGGATTTGATGCATACATTGATCTTCTCCTCGTTATCTACTGTGAAGAAGAACAACAGAATCATTCCTAAGCATGAGTGATAAGGACTCTAAGGAAGTGGGGGGAAAGTGGATTGAAATCATCCTTAAAACAACATAGATACGGAGGAAGATATATATGCTGTCATTTCCTCACCTCTTGTTCAGTAAAGATGGACACTGTTTGACTGCCTAGATGCTCTAAGAGAGAGATGAGTAGCATATGCTCCAGAGGTTACCTATTTTTCAGCCCAGCTTGGCTTTTTCTTCTGTCCCCTTCTCTCTGGGAGAATGGATACCTTTTCCCTTCACATTCAAATGCTTGCCTTTTTCTCTAGCTAAGACTTTACCTTGCTTCCACCCATTTCACAATCTTCCCCTTCTTATTTCTCTCCCCATGTTCAGCTAAGGTTGGATTATTCTGCTCCAACATAGAAAGTCCCATCAACTACAATCAGCTACCGAATGAGACACACAGTTTTTGGAAGTTTGCTGTAAATGTGAATTCCATAGGGACTGGTTTGCGTCAGAGCGCTGGGAAATAATAATAATAATAACAACAACAACAACAACTTATAAATCAATTTATAAATCAAAGCCAAAATTGAAAAGTCGACGACCTTTGAAGGGGTTTCGACGCGAGGCTGCTGAGGAAAGGCCAGACCCTGAACTCAAGCAAGCAGGCAGGGAGGAAGGGAAAGAGCGCACCTGCCCAGCCGAGACCTTCTTTACCCCAAAGGCGGCCCTCGCCCTCCCGACCCTGTCCCCTCTGTCTCCTGCACCTTTGGGCTTCGGGCTCGGCCACCTTCTTTTCTCCCATCCGCGCCTCCTTCCTACTCCAGCAACTCCCACAAGCTCTCCCTCCCTTACCTCTTTGGGGACCAGCTGGTTCTCCTCGCGGCACAGGCAGGCCAGGAGGTGTAGGGAGAGCTTGCGGGAGTCGCCGGAGTAGGAAGGAGGTGCAGATGTGAGAAAAGAAGGTGGCCGCAGAGGGCTCCTGGAAGGCAGGTGGGAAATCCCTTACCAGGTGTAAAGCCTTCCCTTCCCTCGCAAGCCTCTAAAGCAGGATTACCCTGCCATTTGTACCCAGCCAAGGGAGCACATGGCCGAGGAAGTGCGGTGCTCACCTTGAAAATGGCACTCCCCTGGAGCACCAGCTCCCGACTGCCAGGAGCACGTGCGCAAAGAAGCAGGTGCATGAGAGCGGAAATTGTGTCTTGCCGGAAAAGCTTCTCCCAGGGCCTTCTGGGAATGCTACTAAAGCGGCATGCTTCCCCTATTCTTGCCCTCCCTCCGCTAGCGACAATTTTATTATTTATTTATTTATTTTATTTTATTTTATTATTTTATTATTTTATTTATTTACTTACTGTATTTGTATACTGCCTTTCTCAGCCCGTAGGCAACTTCAAGGCAGCTAACAGGGTAAAATTCAATGCTTACAATACAATTAAAAACCTAACATATAATAAAAATTAAACATATCAATAAAATATAAATTCATAGTGTCGCCTTGTTAAAAACATTGTCCGATCTCATTGTCATCGTTCCATTTTCCTATGTAAGTTACTCTGCATTTGGAAACACCTGTTCAAAAAGCCACCTCTTGACTTTTTCCATATTTATTTTTAAAATACTGCGTAACAGCAAGTCTGTGCAAAGCGAACCGTGAAGTAGCGAGGGAACACTGTATATCACAAGTCATCATCTTGTGAATGAGGCTAGGGGCTGTTTGTGTGCCGGGAGAGGAAGCGTAGAAA